TGGAGAATCTTTGAACAATGAGGGTAGAGAAAGCTTCTCTTTAAGAAATGTTGAATGAAGCCTTCATGCTAATTGATGCTGCTCACCATCAGTTTCCAGTGTTCCCAGTAAGGGCAGCCAGTCTGTCCTGACCACTCCCATTTTTCTCAAACATCTATAAATATCTTTACTAAGACAGATAGGAGAGTGTGGTTATCTCCTTTTACTAAAAAAAAAAAAAAAAAAGCCTTCTTCTGTCTCTTGCCAGAGCACTGTTACATTCCAGGTCTCCTTTTCTCTGCATAAGAGTGCAAGTTTCTATTCCCTGCTTCATTAGGCTGTGTAGAGCTGCTTGGTGGGTGTGAAGCTTTTATCAGCTTGGAAACGGGTAATCTCTTCTTCCCTGTGATGCTGTAGAATGTATTTTGCTTGAGCCACCAAAGAAAAAGGTCTGAGAGCTGCAAATTACCGTTTATCTGGAGTGCAACATCAACATATTGCCTTTACTACTTCTAGTATACTTTAGATATGTGAGCTAAATCTGGCTGGGAGTTATCCTTGGCTAGTTTTTTTATTAGAAGAGGCAGACATTAGTTTTAGACAGGGAAGTTTTGTAGATCTGAGAGGGACAAAACAATAGGAAGGAATGTTGCTGAACAACCAGACCTCCTTAATTTTTCTTGTGTGCATCAGTAGAATGGGAAACTTGCGTCAGCTACGTGCTTGATAAGTGCCAGGTTAGATCTCTTTTCCTGTATGTGTTTCATGTATTCTGTTGATTGAGATTTCATCCTGATGCAGAATGGAGAAACAACTAGAAATCCTATCAGTTTTGAGGGCAAAAGAATGCATTCTCTGTCTACCACTAATGTGTACTTTCCCTCTTTTGACATCATGCATAACAACTATATCAACTTCCACCACATCTTTTTCCTTCCTATCTAGGGCAACACGTTTTTATTGCACTCACCTTTGTGTAAATTTTTAAAGGACTGAATCCAGCTTTTAAAATACATATACAGGATGTATTCTTTCCATACACTCAGTAAATGATCTTTCTTGTTACTATTTGATAGGAAGGGCATTGCCTGCAAGACAGATGTTTTTGGGGTAACATTTTCAGCATAAACATAATTTAAGCTGAAAAATTCAAAGAAACTTTTGCACCTAAAACAATACAACGAAGAAAGCAGCAAAATATGAAAAGGGAGAACAAATAACTAGCAATTGCCATAAAAAGTGTTATATTGAAAGAAATTTCCCTAAACCAGAAATCGTCTTTATTTTCAGTCTTGATAGAGATGTCAAGTAAAGAGGAAAAGGAAGGGAGAATAGGAGTGAGAACAGCATTTTCACTGCTGTGTGAAATGTTAGTTTCTTAGGACATTCAAATACAAGAAAAAACATAGGAAACATAAAATAGGCTGAAGTACTCAAAATGAGTTTTTGGAGGGAGATAAAAGGAAAACTGATCTGCATGGAAAGAAAAAGGGTTCTTTTAGCTGAAAACCTGAATGCAGATTGCATCCTTAAAAAAGATGTATAATGCTATATTTCTTTTAAGAAATTAGCATCTAACATAAATGTATAAGATGAGTAACAGAAATTGGATTTTGTGATGCTGCTGTGAGGATGAAATACGCTTGGGAATTGAAGTAATTTTGTGTTATCAGGCAGGCAGAGCCTCTTGGTGCATGACTTTCTGAAGGTAAAATTCCTGTTCTCATTGTGCTAGGGAAATAAGGTTGTATGGCCTGTGTGCTCAGTGACTGATCCTCACTGCAATTTTATTTTTGAATAAATTGACTGCCTTTGAGGTGAGGAGAAAGAGTGACTTAAGAAGTGAAGAACAATATGGGATGAGTGTGACAGAGAATAGCTTTTGTGCAACTTTCTTTTTAATTTCTATAGGGAACTTTGTAACTACTAAGTTTTGCTTGAGAGAAGATACCTGCCTGCATTACATGAGGGAATCAAGCGTATCCATATGGCATCCTGCAGGATGATATGCAAAATCATGTTAAGGACAATGTGCTCCAGTAACTGCTTCTGAGACTGTAGGAGGAAAGATTATAGAATTCAGTGAAATGAGGCAGAAATTTCTTTAACCATTAGAAATCATTACAAATCTGCTGTTGATCCTTTGTTGCCATCCCTTTCTTCTGTGAGCGCACATTCAAAATTTTGTTGTCTGCATGCAGAAATCTCCTGTCTGCCTGTTTCTATTTGACAGCTTGCAAGTTCTGCAATGGTAAGGGCAGTGTTAACACCGGAATTATACACAGAAGTAGCAAACTGGTTTGTAAGCTGTTCAAGCTGCTCCTGCTTGTTCTTGCACTGCGAAGCACTGCACAGTTTTGTTTAACTTCTGTCCTTTTGCTACACAGTACTCTAGTTATACAAACTCATTAAACTGCCATCAGATATTGACTGATCTGTTACATTGCTTGCTATCTTTTAGAACGAGAGGTCAGGCTTTGATGGTTTTCTTGTGAGAGGGATTGTCCTGCTTTGCATGACCCTATACAGGAAATTCTGGCATTGGAATTTTTGTTCTTTTCTTAAATCCCTTTCTTTGCCCACAAGACTCCTCTTTCTGCTCTATTCCCAGCTCTTTTAGTTTCAAATTGCTAGAATTTTTTCCTGTGGGGAGTTAGAAATATAGGTTGTTTCCAGGCAGCACACATTTTTTTCTCAAGGCTTTGGCATTGCAACACTTTTAACATTGCATTAGAGTGAGATTTTTAATTTTTTTTTTATGGGTCAGTGTTGGAGAGTGGAGCAAGCTTTTATGGTAAGTCAAGTTCTTTACATCGGGAGAACATAGAGTGAATTCAGAGAACCAGATCAGAGAAGCTTGTTTCACTTCCTCTCACGCAGTTTCTAAAACACCCGAGTATGCATAAAAGTGGGCTATCTTCTTAATCTAGTCCTAACCTTAAAGTAGTCCTCATTATGCATGCAGATTGAGAAGTCTTCCTGGTTGCACGTGTGTCTGTGCAGCTATTGTGAGTATTGTGGTAGGTGGCAAGGAGCTGGTGCTGGTACTGTACTGCTCAGCCCCTCTGCCTTCACCTGCAGCACTACAGCACGTGCTATGGGACGTCGACGCTGGCAGGCAAGAGGATGGTGGTGCTGTTTTAAAGTGGGTTCATCATTACCACTTTTGTATTTGAAATGAATACTGTATAATAGTGAACTTTTTGAATCTGGCCTTTAGAAAGGATGCTGGGAGGTTGCAGCTGGGATGTCTGACATGGATCCCGAAGTGGTGAAATACATTAAGTGAGCTTTGGTTGTGTCTCGGTAGGTTCTTTCTTCTGATCTACACTAATCTATTGTGCAAAACAAATACCTTCCAGCTCACTCAGCATCATATCTTGATTTTTAATTTTTTTTTTTCTTTTTTTGAGTAAGATGGTATTTTTTTGTACGGGGAGTATAGATTTGTATTATAGTACTTACACATGTCTCCTTTACCTTCCTTTTTTCCCCATCACCATAGCTTATGAAGCCAGGTTTAGGGGATATACTTACGATAATTTGGGTAAGTTATAAGGAGGGAGAAAAGAGAGAAAGCACTCTGATGCATTACTTTCTTCATCTGGTTATTAGTGGAAAGACAGTTCATTTCTGACAGTACCTAGAGAGGGAAGCAGTATTGTAGATATGGTGGTGTAAGAATACAGAAAGGTGAACTTTGTATAGGAAAGGGATATATTTCATTAAAGCAATTCATAGAATTAGAAAATACAGAAAACCTTTTTTGAGCTCTTCTTCAGGAGTCGTGTTTTCAATAGGATGCATATATTGTAAGCATGTGCTGATATTACAGCATGCTGGATACTGGGTTTGCTTTCTTAAAGGATTCTGTTAATATTTTCCAGTATTTCTTATCCTGAAATCTCAAGCCATTGTGTGGATAATTAAGTCATACTGAAATGAGACAACTAGTGGCAGATATACATCACTTTTTGTGAGGTGCTTCTGGATCGTGGCATCTTTCCCGTAGTGGGAGTGGAAGGTCTGAATTGTCCATTCATATGTTGCAGAGATTAACAGGAACGTAGAGGAGCTTTGCACACATGTACCAGTCTGCCAACACCATGCATAATGTTTTGGAAATATGAAAGAAACATGCCTTTGTAATATAATCTCTGTTTATTTCCATTTTTATATTTTAACCTCATGTTTTTTCAAACTGAAATAGTTTTTTTACAGAGTCACTTTGTTACAGGAACTCTTGAAATATGTTCTTGTCCCATCAGTACCCAATATAGGGCGACAAACACCACAAAAATGCTAAGGACTAATAGAGAGTAATGTCTTTAGGATATTAGAATTTAGAAGTACTGGTACAGGGCAAACTTTATGTGTTATCTTTGACATTTAGTTTAAGCTGATAGGACACAGACAAGAAAATCTTGACTGCAGTGTTAATATCTTTTGCTGGAGTAGGCAATTTCTTAATAAGAAATTTAATTATTTACTGTAATAAGAAAATTTAAGTACAAATGTTCTTTTACCTTATATACAAAGTGGCACTATAAATGTGAATGTGCCTTTCTCCTTGAGCTGCTAAGCAATCACTTGACTTTTTCCTGGGGAGCAAGAATTTAAACAAAAAACAAGTCTTTGTTCACTCAAAGCCATGATGGGCCATGTGTGACTTTTTATTAATAGGTGAGGCTTTTTAAAGGGGTGGATATGTAAAATAATGCCACTTGTTAGGCTGGTGTTTGTAGCTGGCACATGTGAAATTTCTCTAAAAGGAAGTTTTGGATATATTCAGTGCCTTGGAAGAGATGAGGTCTGAGCACCAGACTGCAAAATTTTAATTGTAGCTTTGATGTTTTCCCCCCTAAAAGCTGGAATTTGATTTTTGTCTCCAAATCCTTATGTCTAAAGTGGAGGGAGATAACTTTGTTCTATCTTGATAAGTCATTAGAGTTTATCAAGTGCTTTGTATACAACAGAACTCTATTGTAAATGCTGAGTATTGTCTGCCTTTTTCTACACAGTGTTGACAATTTTGGACTTGGTCTTCTACTTCAGACTAAGCAGATAAAACGCATGGTGTCATCATATGTTGGAGAGAACGCTGAATTTGAACGCCAGTATTTATCTGGTGAGCTTGAAGTTGAGCTTACACCTCAGGTAAGGAGTGTCTCTAGGAGACTGGTGATTTCTTTTAATCTAAAATACTGAGTAGACTAATGCTTAAATGCTCTTATAAAATTATTTTGCTATCCAAATGTTTTGCCTGTGTGCAGATGTGCAGTAAAGACAGATGGCACTTGCATCTGTGGTGGGTTGACCCTGACTGGTTGCCAGGTGCCCACCAAAGCCGCTCTATCACTCCCTTCCTCAGCTGGACCGGGGAGACAAAATAAAATGAAAGGCTCATGGGTTGAGGTAAGGACAGGAAGAGATCACTCACCAGTTATTGTCACAGGCAAAACAGACTCGACTTGAGGAAATTAGTTTAATTTATTACCAAATAAATCAGAGTAGGATAATGAGAAATAAAGCCCAGTCTTAAAAAAAACCACCTTCCCCCCACCCCTCCCTTC